ATGTGAGTGTATCTATTCGTCCGTGTATGCGCATATAGGGGTTGTTGCCCGACTGGCTGCCGGAGCAGCTATCTCTCCTGTCCTCCGTAGCCACATCACGGAGAGAATCATGGGTCGTTCCCCGATACGCGGTCGACACGATCCGTTGGTGGGTCCACGGCGCGAGGGGTGGCGAGGAAACGGGACGCCGAGGGGGATTGGGAAAGGATAGGGTGGGTGGATGGTTGCGGAGCGCGCGGACCAACACACCGACGCCAATCCCTAAACGACCGCGAGGTCTCGCGGCGAGGAGGCCACGGCGCGATGGCGTATACCGGGGTTACGTCACGTGAATCCACGGCGTAACACCTCTTCTTCGCCACCACCGCCACCGTTAGTTGGCACGTTGGCCTACACACGTTTCGGAAGGGTAGGCGGAGTGCAGGCGGGGGCGACGGGCGAAAAACGGAGGAGGGGAGACAGGGTGGGGAATTTCAGGTAGAGAGCTAGCGAGACTAGACTCTCGGCCCGGGGACTTGCTGGCCGAGTGGCTGACTCGACTATAGCGGGGTAGCGCTAGTTAGCCATCTACGGGCAACTACGGGGGCGGCTCCCGGATGCCACGTTGTCAGACGGCCGTTACCACTGTGTCATTGGTCGACTCCACCCACGGCGGCGTGAGGTCGTAGGGATGAGCGTGCAAAGGGGTGGTGGGCGGCGCCAGGCGAATCGACGACGCTGATTCGACACCGGCTTGCCAGTCGCGTCGCGCCGACCAATCGACAATACGGGATCAGGCTAGCTGACGACGACGTTAACATCTGCCTTCCGGCAGCAGCCAACGGTATTTACCAGCTACACGTTAGTGGCGTCGTTACTACTTTTTCACGGTGTAGATGTAGATGTACGTGTAAGTATAGGTGAGTGCGAAGGTAAGCTGTCGCAAAAAGTGGGTGGGTGGAAATGGCATAATGGAAAGTGAATGTTAGACGAGAACGATATCGAGTCGGTGATTGTAATTTCCGTAATTCCGTAGAAACGGATTTTAAAAACGCAAAACAATACACGATTTTCTTAAAAATTTATAATCTCTTAAATCGTTATCCGTACAGCACAGATCTTCAACGGATGTTCTAGAAACACCCAGAGGACGTCCTACGAATAAAAGGATATCTTAAGGATGTTCCCGAGACATCTCTCAGATAAAGTATGCTATAAGTGAAATTTTTACTGTTATACTTTTTAAAAATCGTTCGCGTTAAAGTGAAATCCGCAGTTGTGAGTTATAATTTTCTACAAACGCATATACACTTCGGAAAGAATGCAACGCGGGCTTTTTCTCGGTGCAACATTATATTGATTGGGCCATTTTGTCGGACGTTACGTAATGACACGCCCCTCTTGCAAGTGTGCTGTCATTTGTGAGTTGCGCGCGAGCCTTCGATCGATCACGCCCCCTTGACTTTCTGACTTAACCAGTAATCGGTAATTACACCTTGGTTTTAATCCTGGCTAAGTGAAAACTGCGCAGTCGACCCTTCAATTTCTATCTTATATCTAACGTTTCATTCTATCTTACATGAAACGTTCTTTAAACCGTGCTAATATATATTATCACTCAATAATTTTGTATCATAAATTTTATTATTACAATATTTTACAGCATACAAAAAAATTTTTTGCTGTCTTAAATTTTTTGCCTTTTTTCACGAAAAATACAAAGAATAAAATTCATATTGCAACAAAATTATCGATTGATATGATAATTATTTACGCCATGTCATAACTGAAATAATTCAAAATAAACAAGTCATAAAATGACATTAATTACATTCACAACTACTGTGTAGAGACGATGGATATTACATATGAAGTTCTTATTTGATTTCCAAGAGGGAACAATAGATATTATTCTAATAGCGTATAATATTTTCCAGAAACATAAATCTTACATAACGCGTTACAAGGTAAAGTAATACATGTATAGTCTGCTACACATATTTTGCAAGCATTGTAATGTATTCCTAAGTTGACATCTCGTTTAATCGACACTGCTGCAACTGATCTTGTAGCTGAGCATATCGCATTTGCAACGAGCGTTCTCGTTCTGTCTGCCTATTCACGTCTTCCATAAGCGCGTTTATCCTCCTCGGCACCGCCGCCTCTTCCTGCGTTTGCAAAAACTTAAATGTCGATAGTTCGAGATGCGATTGCTCTATCTGTTCCCACAAATCATGTAGCTGCTTCGTCAGCACTTGCGTCCTAGTCTTATTTAAAAAAATAAAGTAATAATTATATAGTGTCGATTTAACTTTTTTAGGTGGATTTTAATTCGACCGAACAAATCTTGGGAAATATATTTCTTTAAATTATACAGAGCGTTTCAAAACTGATAAACGATAAGTATTATAATGACAAATTCTTTGTAACATTTTAAAATGAGAATTCTAAGACGAAAATACATGACTACATCAATTTTCAAATAGAAAGAGTTTAAGATTATACAAATGATAAGATTAAAATTTCATGCTTGAATGGTCAATGATAAAGATGCTTCCATAAAAATATTTTCGAAATTATTCTATACATATGCAATAAGAGTTTTATTAAGAAGCTATTTCAGTTTATTCGATTTTGATATAAAAATAAATCAAAATATTATGTTTATATAATAAGTCTTCGCGTAAGATCACCGCTAAAAGCACAACTAGAGATTTGAAAAAAAGAAATTTTTTTCAAAATCTATAAATTTAATTATTTGCCTTAAAGTATTTTGATGATTATGATACAACAATAAAACATTGTGTCAAATTAAAATAAATTATAAATTGAAAACTGGCAACATTCTTCTCATTGCAACATATTATAAATAATTATTTCGTATTTTACATACTTGATAACCTCCGGTGAGTACTTTTAATTTCTTTTCCATTCTGGCAGCACGTTTAGCTTCCCCCGTCATGTGCATACGATTTTCCTCTAATTTTCTCTCGCATGCTTCCACTCTGTCTTTTTTCGAGGCTAGAGTCGCACGGGTATATCGTTTCTGCGTTTCGAGGTACAAAATCTGCGACAGACATTCCTCCCATACAGTAGTATAGGCATCCAAGCTCAATTCTCCATGCGCCATTCCTTCCTTTACAACTGCCATCTCATCCGTTAACATTTTCTTAGCCTAATTTTGGATATTAATACAACATTAATTCAATAATTAAATTAAATATAATAAATACTTAATTAAACATAAATATAGTTAACAAAATAATAATATAAAATAAATTTCATAAAATTATTAACTTAATTATTAAATATATTTTACAATGTTTTATACATACATTAATAAGTTCATCCTCTTCGAAAATATTATATGGATGTTGCTCTAAATAAGTTTGAGCTTGAGCTAACGATGTTGCAGCACTTTTTCGATTTGACTGTGTTGGATTTTGCAGTGCATCGTAATGCAACATTGTGATCATTTCTCTCTTTATCAATTCTTCTGCCTAAGGAATAGCAAAAATTAATTAAAATAAAATTAACAATAAAAATGAATGTCTTTACATATGAAAAATTAATACTCTTTGCAAATCAGTCAATGGTGTGTCCATATATGGTCTTAAAATATTCATATTTATATCCGCAGGTCGTGGTAAATCTCTTTGTATTACTTGCGATCTACGTGCCAATTCTCTTTTTTCTGCAAAATTTTTTATATGTTTTAATTAAAATAATATCGGAAAAAAATAATTTCACTAATATGTAAAAAAATAATTTCACTTCAAGGAAAAAAGTAATGGAAAAAGTACTACTTGTATACTCCATAGATCAATACGAAGTTATACAATTGCTTTTATATATTTTTAGAAGGTAATTAAAATTTTTTTAATCTTATTACTAATAAACTATTACTATAATTTTTTTAAATAAAAATTCTAAATCCGACTTCCAAACTTGTCATAATAATGAAAAGCTTATAAAATAATTTCGATTTTTCAATAGTTATTGAAGAAGAGGCTTACATCTTTCTATAAAAATTACAATTGTAATGAACAGTTTAAAAGATTTAATCCGTTCAGTTATGGTATACAATGAGAAAAGTTATTTTAATGGGCTTACTTTCTTCTAGTAATTCCTGTTGCTGTCTTGCATCGATATCCGCCTGATCCTCCACCATCTCAGTTACAGGCGCACCAGCACCTTCCTCGTTTATCTCCCCGTCATAGATATCTATTTCATAATCGTTACACGGCGCCGGTAAGGAACTCAATACTGCGCGCAATGAGCTCTTTGCCTGCGTCTGCATCAATGGAGTTTCCGAGCCATCCATACTTTCATCTGGATTTATATTAAGTTTATCGCGAACCGGAGTTGCCGCTAAAAGTCCATTTTGCGTTCGTACTGATGCCCCGCCTGGTGTGTTAAATGAATTCATTGGCGTTCCATCGCTACGTTGCGACCTAAATGGAGTAGCTAAAATTGTATTGGGCGTAGCAACAACATTGGTAGGAGGTGCAACGCCAGTAAAATCAGGATTGTTCAATGGAGTATTCAAGCCACCTGAAAAAAGACACTTATGAAGTTTTGAATTGAATATGCTTGATAAAATATTTAGTAATAAAGTATTCTATATTCTAACCTTTCAGTGGTGTATCTACGTGTGTAAGAGCCATGACATTTTGTGCTTCTTGTAATATTCTATCTGTAGCAGCTGGTGTACGAGGCGTTGCAGATGCATTCGTAGGTAAGGAATAATCAGCTAATAAACTATCGGAGAGTGTAACACCGCTCTCAGTAGCAACTTCTCGAGCCACCTACAATAGATCAAATGCATATAGACAAACATCAATTTTATAATCTCCATAATCTTAATATAAAAAAGTCTCAATCGAGAAACATACCTCCGAAGCTCTGCCAAGTTTTACAACTTGCTGTAATTCTTGATCAGAGATCTGAGGCTCTGGTAGGACCAACTTACTTCTTTTCTTTACAGGTTCTTCATTGTTAAGCATACCCATAGGAATATCATTTTCTTTACGTTGTTTTAATTTCTGTTTATCTTTCCTGCGCTCCATTTCTTCCTTTTCTTGTCGAAGTTCACCATCTAGATGCTGCTGCCTCATTCGGGAAAAATCGATCGCTAGGGGATCAACATGTTCATTGGAGGTGTCATAAAAACCAGACGCAGGTCGTTTCTCAAATGGTATTTCTGTATTATAATTAACACCACGTTTGCGTTTGTTCTTTTGGGACACAGTAATACCAGCAGCTCTTAATTCTCTACGCTTTTGTAAAGCAGCGAGCCTACGTGCTTCCTCCAACTGTTTTTCACGCGCTTTACGTTTTGCCTTTTTTCCCTGCGTATTTGCCAACCTAGCACGTGCCTCTGATAACATTTCCAATTCTGTAAAGAAAAAAGAATAATATATTGTTAAAAATCCTTTTTGTCATAGAAGATAATTCCTTCTGCTACAAACTGCTCACCATCTTCATCCATATCTTTAGGATCTGGTCTTGCTGGCTTTGTTTCTGGATTAGGATCAATTTCACCAGGTTTAAGCTTGCGAGGATCATCAACAGCATCATCTCCTTCCTCTTTCTTTTGCGCTTGATCACTGACATAATTTAATAGTAATATGAAAGAATATATAAACCAAAATAAATCATTTTACTTGAATAAAATCCAATCGACCTTACAGCAAATATTCATATCTTTCCAAACACTGCGCAGCTGTTCTACCAATAATAGGTGCGATAGTTCGCCACTGGGTGGGCATTAACTTTGCAAGGTGAAGCAACTTTTCATCCTCTTCCCGGCTCCATTCGGTCTTCTTTATGCTTGGATCTAACCATTCAAACCAACGCGCCTTGCACTGCTTGGCAGATTTTCGATGTAACAAAGATGCAATACGGCTCCATTGATTTTTTCCATATTTCATTACAGCCGCTTTCAAAATTTCATCCTAAAAAACAAATTTTTTTACGCTTAATAAAGTTTTTTTTTTACACACACACACACACACACACACACACACACACACACACACACACACACACACACATCATCATGCAACTTAGGTTAGAAAATATCACATATCACTTACTTCCGTATTTCGCCAGACACCACCTTTTATCATAATCCGCGGCATTTTGTATTTTTATTGGTATCGTTCTGTTGAAAAGTAATTTCAATTATAACAAGAAGCGCGAGAAATCGCTCACGCTCGCATCTTCCACACCTGCGTTAAACAAACCGAAACAAGTTGCAACATAGAGATGTGTACATTTGTGAACATAGAGCTTCTGTGATAGATGTAAATTTTAGGCCCTGCGCACAATGGAGAAAATATTAAATATTAAAGTCTACGCACAATAGGCAATAGCAGCAGAGAATAACGCAGACAATAGATTTTAATTTATCAGAATCTATTTTCTATTAATTAACAGGCTATTTATTAGTAGAAATTGAGCAATCTATTTATCTCTTAATCTATTATTAATAGATATATCATTCGTATGTACTTTACCGGATAAAAAGTTCAGTTGAAAGAATCATTATTTCAAATCGTCTATATTTCGTATAAAGAATTTTGAAGTGTAATTGGAAAGTTTTATGAATCACTCAATTAATTATAATTAATTGATCATTTTAACACCATATATTTGACCGTAAGTTCTAGTCTACAATAGGTGATTTAAGTCTTAAACCATAAGAAATGAACGAATCATAGTCGAAGAATAGGAGAATAATCAATTATGATTGGTTAATTTCTTATGGCTTAAGACTTAAATCACCTATTGTAGACCGGGACTATGAAATTGACTAATCACAGTCGATTATTCCTCTCAAATTTAAATGTGATTAGTCAATTTGTTACGGCTTAAATCTTAAGTCTTAAATCATTTATTGTTGACTGGGATTAAAGCGGTGTCTACAATGAGATTTTAAAGCGTAAAAAATTAAAAAATTGATCAACCACAATCGATTTATAGAAGAATAATTGATTATGGTTGGCCAATTTCTTAAGTCTTACGTCTTAAAATCTCATTGTAGACACCGCTTAACGAAATCCGCTTCCGAAAGAATCTGATTGGTTTTCTTTTGGATCATCTGCAATGTGAAGCCTCCTTATATTATTTTTTAAGGTTATGTGAAGTTATAGTTCTTCTGTTCCATGTGATATTTGACAGTTTGAAACTTCAAAAGGATAAAAATTTCAAAGTAAGATTATGTATTATTAAACAAAATTATATTGACAGTTTATATATTAGAAAGAATGTTTAGAAATTACAAGAATCAATAGATTTCGATATACTTGGATGTTCATAGAAAATTTGTACCCTTGTCGCAAGCATCATTGCATTGTGTTATGCACATTCGGAATTATTATAAATTTCTTACAAACAAATATTTTATTGTTATCGCAGCTGTATCCCTTATTTAATTCATCTTAATTCTATAATTTTTTCTTATTTTCAAATTAAAATTGAAAATCAAAGACAATCGTTTGAGGTTTTAACCTAAAAAAATTTTAGTAAATATGCAGTTTAACGTTCTCTCCTCCGCTTTTTTTTTTTGTAAATTTGTATGTTTTTATTTTAGCATATATTTGGAAAAGAAAAGTCTTGCTCAATTTTTTTGTTTACTTTTAATTTTTTGTTATTGATAAATTAGAAAACGATAATTTAATAATCATTTACGACTGTATATTCTATATTCTCTGCTTCAATTAAAAACATATTATTTTCTTATATAATTTAAACTATAGCAGAGAAGTTTGTGATTCAAAATTTATACTTTTTTCATTCCTTTTATGTGAATTGAAAGTCAAACATCAAAAAATTTTAAAATAAAGAAAAAAAGATAGAACTTGAGTGACGATTTTTCATCTCAGAATATATTTTGTGTATGAACATATACAAATTTACAAAGTTACAAGAAAATCGGAGAAGAAAGCATTATATTGCATTATTAAAATTTTTCTACAATAATAAAATCTTATTAAAAATTTTATAAACATACGAGAATTTTTTGGAGGATAACATAACATTACAAAAATTGCAGTAAGTTTCAAAATCTCAGATTGCTGGAAGATGCTAAATTAAGGTCAATGCAGGATTAAATTGCTGATAATATTTAAAAGACTGATAACTAAAAAATAATATGAAAAGTTTTACTAATTTTTGATCTTGTGATGAATGATAGAAAATATGCTGATGTAAATGTGTTATTTTCAAGAAGGATTATTTTAAAGATAATTATGTTGTTTTAGATAATTTATTGGATATATAATTTTAAAAAAATTTGATTTTATTACTTATGTGATATATCTTTTATAAATATGATTAAAATGATTATTAGCATAATGAAAATGATTTAAAAAATATATATATATAAAACATAATTATGTACATTAAATATAAAAATATGTTAAATTAAGATATATTTAATATAATTTATTCTATGTTGTATAATAAGACCATATATTTACAATTTCCTATAGTAGAATGTTGGATAACGATCTTGTCGGATTTGCTGACCCAAATACAGTCAGCGACAATGATAATGAAGATAATGAAATCAGTAATATCAAAAAGAAAATTTCCAAGAAATCTGGAGGATTTCAATCTATGGCTCTCAGTTTTCCAGTATTGAAAGGAATCCTTAAACGTGGTTACAAAATACCAACACCTATACAAAGAAAGGTTATTAAAGAAGACATATTCTACAAGTGAAAATAATTCATTTTGATATTATCACTCTTTTTTTACAACAAATTTTGATCGTCATTAGCATAATATTTTTTTCATAGACTATACCACTAGCTCTCGAGGGAAGAGATATAGTAGCAATGGCTAGGACAGGTAGCGGAAAGACTGCTTGCTTTTTAATCCCTCTGTTTGAAAAACTCAAAGCAAGGCAAGCAAAGACGGGTGCGCGTGCCTTGATATTATCACCTACGCGCGAGCTAACATTGCAGACGTTAAAGTTTATAAAGGAGTTGGGGAAGATTTACAGGATTAAAAGCAGCAGTAATACTGGGTGGCGACAATATGGAGAATCAATTTAGTGCAATACATGGAAACCCTGACATCATCATGGCTACTCCGGGCAGATTTCTACATATATGTGTAGAAATGGATTTGCAATTGAAAAATGTTGAATACGTTGTCTTCGATGAAGCTGATAGGTAATGGTTTCTTTTTTTCTTTTAGCATATTTTTTTAATAATTTACATGAAGTGATAAAAGTGACAAAATTGTATTGCAGATTATTTGAAATGGGTTTTGGGGAACAGATACAAGAAATTGTAAATAGATTACCGGAATCACGTCAAACGTTATTGTTTTCTGCCACTTTGCCCAAGATCCTAGTAGACTTTGCAAAAGCTGGTCTGAATGATCCAATTTTACTTCGTTTAGACGTTGATAGTAAACTACCTGAAGGATTGACATTATCTTTTATTACGTGCCGTTCCGAAGAAAAATTGGCCGTACTTTTATGTTTATTAAAAAGGATTATCAAGCCCGAATCGCAAACAATTATATTCGCGGAAACTATGCATCATGTAGAATATATTCATCAGGTAATTATACATAATTACTTTTTAAATACATCTTGTAAAATTATTTATTATCAAAGAATCAGAGAGTAACAAAAAGTCTATAAGAGCTATTTTATTAATTTTATGACTAAATTGACTGCATAAATGAGAGAGTATGAGATATGAATAAATTTAATTCTATGTAAAATATGTATACTGAAGAAAAATTAAATCTGGGATTAAAATATTTGCATCATTTATGTAAAATGTAATTGTTTAATGTAGATAATAATTTTGCATCAATAACTGCTTATAGTCTTTTTTTTATCGTCTTGACTTGTCATTTCAGAGTCTTTATTTATTATTTAATTCGAATAATCAGATATTAAAACTAGAATAAAATTGTATTTTTTTAGATATTGGATAAAGCAGGTATATCCAACACCTTTATTTATTCGAATCTGGATCCTTCGGCGCGTAAAATAAACGCGGCTAAATTTCAAATCGGTAAAGTAAAAGTTCTCATAGTGACGGATGTTGCTGCTAGAGGAATAGATATACCACATCTCGACTACGTGATCAATTTTAATTTTCCCGCAAAATCTAAACTCTTTGTACACAGAGTAGGTATGTTCTTCCGTTTTTAATTGTTGCTTTTAATTATTTCTAATTGTTTTGGTCGAAGACCACGCTTACTCCAATTTTAATCATCTGTTTTCCAGGACGATGTGCTCGAGCTGGACGTGTTGGAATGGCATATAACATCGTGAGCGCAGACGAATATCCTTATCTCTTAGATTTGCACCTCTTTCTCGGTCGACCTTTAACGATAGTGCCAACTGCGGGAACCACTGAAAATATGGAATCCGCTGTGGGAAAAATGCCACAAACTATGATAGAGGAGGAACTGGCCGTGTTAATAAATTGGCACAATACTTCTACAGATCTTGTAAGCATATCGAACTGATGTTCACTTTGTTTGTTTACGTAAATTGGTGTAGCTAAGATTTTTATTTCTTTATGATGTTAAACAAATATTTGTTCTTGCAGACAAATATGCAAAGAGTGTGCAACAATGCCTATCAACAATATGTAAGATCGCGGCCGGGCGCTTCGACGGAAAGTGTTAAAAGAGTTAAGGAACTTCGTATAAACGAAGCTGGAGTTTTACCCCAATATTCTGACGTTTCTCAGACAACTGCTGATATAATATCCAAGATGAAAAATTACAGACCGCAGGGAGTTAGTATGATATTTTATTTATATATATACGTTAGAACATTGTGTGTGTGTGTGTGTGTGTGTGTGTGTGTGTGTGTG